GCCACATGGCGCTGCCTCACAGTGTTTGTGTTGCCGTCAGGCTGTCAGAAAGCTGCAGTGGGAGTTTTGCCACATTTTTGGTTCTCTGCCTCTGATGTAATTTGGTAAAAAGAAGAATTCAGGTTAGGTTTCATGGACTGCACAACTGTGTGGGTTTGTGTGACATTCTGTTAAAAAGGGGAACGTAATCAACACTAAACAGAGTCTTGCACTGCTCCAGCTCGATCTCTCAGACAAACACTGATGTGTCTAAACTTTAGCAAATCAGGGACACCTATAACGGAGTAAAGTGCAACGCTGAAAGTAGGGGTGTCCTTTAAAACTCAGAGATTTGATTGATGTGTCAGACCACTTCCAGATGAATTCCAAGTCCCTTGGCAGAATTGTCAAGAAATCATTTTTAAGTACCCCTCCATCCCTGCCCACAGAAGAAGACACAATAAAAGCTTCCTCTGACAACACATGACAAGCGCCAACACCACTGAGCTGGCACTTCCTGTCATTGCTTTCCTGCTTGAATAGCTGACTGATCATTGCGTGTCAACTTCAGGCGACGTGGCATTAGTATTCCACTTGTGTCAAAAAAAGGCTAAAAGTTTTACAGAAGTCAAAACTTTGGATACATGTCAGTGCACACTTACTATTCCTCAAAGGGATATGGAGCCCAGCATAATGGTCAAACTATATCAGATTTGACACAAAGACTTTAAGATCTCACAACACCAACCACCATGGGATGTTTCTCAGTGCCCTGCAGTACCTTGAGCCAGGGGTGGTTAAGAGCCTCGTAGACTGTGATTCTCTCGGCGGGATCCAGCATCAGCATACGCCTCACCAAGTCCTTAGCGCTCTCTGAGATGTGATTCCACTGGCGTGGATTCATCTACACACACAAAAATACCAAAACAGGAATATGAAATCATAAGTGTCATGTTGGCATCGTCCATTTGTCCCTGTGCTATACATACAGCAGTCTCTGGGGATAATAAATGAAGGCAAATACTGCAATCCCTCCAGTGGCCACTTATGTGGGGTGTGATAGTATATATAAATATATATACACACACACACACACACACACACACACACAAACACACACATACACACACACATAAATATATATGAGGATAAAGAAAGACAACCCTTGTGCAGAGTGCCGCTGAACCATCGGGACTAAAGATAGTAGGGTGCAGGACTCGAAAAGTGTGAAGTAAAGTGAGTGTGAGTATGTGTGTTTATGTAAT